CTGGGTCAGGGCTTCTCGAGCTACCAGCCCTTCGAGCCGCAGGCGCTGGGGCTGAGCCCGAGCTGGCGGCTGACGGGCTTCTCCGGCCTCAAGGGCTGAGGCTGCAAGGTCCCCCAGGAGACGCTGCTCAAACTCCTGGCGGGACTGACGCGGCCCGAAGACCGGGGCCTGGCCAGAGGCCATGAAGAGGTGGCCCAGGAAGCCGGCCTGCAGGTCCTGGAGCCCAGCCCCAGCTTGCCGGCCCTGGGCATCGGGATGGACTCCTGCGTCATCCCGCTGAGGCACGGAGGCCTGTCGCTGGTGCAGACCACGGACTTCTTCTACCCGTTGGTGGACGACCCCTACATGATGGGGCGCATCGCCTGCGCCAACGTGCTGAGCGACCTCTACGCCATGGGCATCACCGAGTGCGACAACATGCTCATGCTCCTCAGCGTCAGCCAGAGCATGACCGAGGAGGAGCGGGAGAAGGTCACCCCGCTCCTGGTCAGGGGCTTCCGGGACGCTGCCGAGGACGGCGGGACGGCGGTGACGGGCGGACAGACTGTGGTAAACCCTTGGGTCATCGTGGGTGGGGTGGCCACGGTGGTGTGTCAGCCCAATGAGTTCATCATGCCCGACAGTGCCGTGGTCGGGGACGTGCTGGTGTTAACCAAGCCCTTAGGAACCCAGGTGGCTGTCAATGCCCACCAGTGGCTGGATAACCCTGAAAGGTGGAATAAGATCAAGATGGTGGTCTCCAGAGAAGAGGTGGAGCTGGCCTATCGGGAAGCCATGTTCAATATGGCCACCCTGAACAGAACTGCCGCTGGGTTGATGCACACATTTAATGCCCATGCAGCCACAGACATCACAGGCTTTGGCATTCTGGGGCACGCTCAGAATCTTGCCAAACAACAAAGAAACGAGGTGTCCTTTGTCATCCATAACCTGCCCATCATTGCCAAGATGGCCGCCATCAGCAAGGCCAGTGGGCGCTTTGGGCTCCTTCAAGGAACCTCGGCAGAAACTTCTGGGGGGTTGCTGATCTGTTTGCCAAGGGAACAGGCTGCTCGCTTTTGCTCAGAGATAAAATCTTCCAAGTACGGAGAGGGTCACCAAGCCTGGATCGTTGGCATTGTGGAAAAGGGGAACCGGACGGCCCGCATCATTGACAAGCCTCGAGTTATTGAGGTCCTGCCTCGTGGGACCACTGCTACCGCTCTCGCTCCAGACCATCCCAACGCCTCCTCTGAACCTAGCTCTTGAGATGGAAGAGCAGAAGTTGTCTGGACCTCACCGCCTGTGCACACAATCATGGATGGTTCTGAAGAGTTGACTTTAGCAACAGATTTCCAAAGAAGGCTGCCCGCCTAGTAGTCCCACAGTTGCCCTTTCCAGGTGATTTGAGTCAGCCCATCAGAAGCTGCACATCCAAGGCCAGAAGTCTCATTTTGGACTTCGGGGGAGGGTGGTTTTATTTGGCTTGGAAGGGGAGCACAAAAACCTGTATCCTCTTTCCAAGAGCAGAGTGAGGAAATTTCCATCTGAGAGAATTGAGGGGAAATACATATACATGTGCAACTAAATTTGGACCAATATGGTTGACAAATATAAATTGTTAAGAAAGATCTTATAATGCAATGACAGGTTCTTTATTAGACTTTTCTGAAATACTGTCCCTTTCCTGCTCTGGACAAGAATTGAGCAGCTTGTCCAATGCCTGGGAAAGGAAGACCTGCAGCCATCTGACCTGGTCTCTGTTAATGATGCCTCTTCCTCTAAACCCCTTTAAGGACTGGGAGAGGCAGAGAAGCCCCAGAGCCCAGGCTCAGAGGTCATTAAGATGTTAAAGTTTGTGCTGAAAATTCCTGATGATTTAATCAGTGAAGTGATTTCTAGTGAATTAAATAAAAAGCATTTTGTTGAAAATTCACCAGACTAATGTTTGGATCCTTGAAGTTCTGAATCTTTTACAATGTTATCAAATGAATCAATTCATACATTTAGAGTCTGATCATTTAATCCCCAGATTTAGGTTTGCATTCTCCCCCTGAGTTGACAGCAAAGGACAAAACAGACATAAACCTCAAGGACTAGACAGTGGGAGAGGAAATAGCAAAAGTGCCAACAGTCCTTGGAAAATGAAAAGTAGGTGGAAGAGGGGTAACTGCCTTAGCAGGATAGAAGAAGCCAAAGTGTGAATGCCTTCCGAGTTGGGGAATACTAATAGGAAGTGAGGAGCTGTGGTCCAGAGGTCCAAGGGAGGTGGGATCAAGGGTGGGGATAAAAACAGATTCTGGCCCTGGCTGGTTTGGCTCAGTGGATAAAGTGTCAGACTGTGGACTGAAGGGTCCTGGGTGGAATTCAGGTCAAGGGTACATGCAGGCTCAGTTTCCAATAGAGGTCCTGCGGGTGGGAGCCAATCAATGATCCTCATCATTGATGTTTCTCTCTCTCCCTCTGGAATCAATAAAAATATCCTATATAATAAGAGGGTAATATATAATAAAAGGGTAATATGTGAATCGACTGAACCGTGGAACAACCGGTTGTTATGATGCACACAGACCACCAGGGGACAGGCACTCAACCACAGGGGAGGGCCACTTGGCTAGAAGGCTGTGGTGGGAGCCTCTCCATGGGACATCGCCCGAGGGCTCCCGGACTGGGAAAGGGTGCAGGCCTGGATGAGGGACCCCCCACCCCCCACCGCCCCCCAAATGCTGTGCACTGGGTCTCTAGGATTTAAAATAAAACAGATGAAAATAAAACAGATGAAAATAAAACAGGTTGAATCTAATTATTCAGGGTAATTAGATTTTTTTTTAAATTCTCAAACTTCTCCCTGGTTCACACAGGCAGAAGACTGCTCCTCAGCTTGGTAGATAAAGGGAAGTTTATATCCTGGAAAATGTGAATTAAAAAATACTGTAAAATCAGGGACACCAGGCACAGCAGAGGACAGGGGACTTGACCAAAAACAGAAGAATAAAAACTGAAAATGAGGGCCCAAACCTCTTCCTCAGCTATTAAAAACACTGTGCAGGAAGCTTATACCGCTGCTCATGGAGAAAATGAATGTGCCCAGAAAAAACAGAAACATAAATAGAAACATTTGAGGAGCCCCCAGTTAAAATCCCTGTATGGAGAAGTCTCCCAGTTGAAAATCTTCACTCAAGCACATTCTTTTTAATGCCTAAGTCTTAAATAGGAGCAGTCATTGAAGGAAGCCTCCAACTTGAAAGAAGTCAAAGCTAACAAATTCAGGAAAGGGACAATACAGGGAGTGGAAGGAAAAAAAATGGAGGCAAAGAAACAAAGTGTCCATGAGAAGATAAGAACAAAGCATGTAGAATATAAAAATATAGCTCAGATTTTAATATTCAGTGGAAGACTTAAAAGATAAAGTTGGGCCCTGGCTGGGCTGCTCAGTCGGCTGGATCATCGTCCATACACTGAAAGGTATGGGTTTGATTTCCAGTCCAGGCACATACCTAGGTTGGGGGTTGAGTGCCTGGTTGGAGCACAAACAAGAGGCAACCAATGAATGCTTCTCTCCCTCCTCTCCACCTTCCCTTCCTCTCCAAAATCAATAGACATATCCTTGGGTGAAGTTTTTGTTTTTTTTTAAAGAAAATACAGTTAAGGAAATTTTCCAGAAAGT